CCCCACACACACATGTTCACACCTACTTGTTTTGCCTACTTTATGGGGTCCTATTGGACTATTTTCACATCTTAAGTTCAGCATACTTTCAGCTCTTCAAGGCCATTCCTACTATATACTGCATCTCATCCATCAGATTATTCAACAAAGAACATAAGCCATTTCTTCTCATCTTTCAGCTGTTTCCGCAATTGATTTCAGGCATTTTCAGGACGATCTTTCAGCTTATCAGCATCCACATGCATTTATGACAGGAAATGCATTTCTCTAGTTGATATTGATGACCTGCTGTTGTTATCATGTTTGTATGAATCCTGTCCTTTCTCCTGCAGATGATTTCCGTATATTCTGCGGTGATCTTGGTAATGAGGTCAATGATGACATACTGGCCAGAGCCTTCAGCAGATACCCATCTTTCCTCAAAGCTAAGGTCTGGTTGCTTTTCTGTTGCAGTCATCTTTGACTTCAAAGAAAATTGTAAATTTGTAGTTTTGTCAACATTCCTAACAGTTCCTAGATCATTTTACTTGGCAGTTGAATTCATTATATATTAATGTAGAGTTATACCTGTACTAATCAGATAGCCCGTGAATGACATCCGTTGCCATATTATTCAGACTAATTTGAGCAATTGTGTATTGAACATTTGAGACAATAACTGATAACCATTCAAGTAAATTTGTGTATAGTAATGTGAGCAATGCCAGAGGTGATACTTGAAAAAACAGGATATATATTTAACCCCAATTTACTAATATATTTACAACTGTGTGACAGAAGAGGACACTATTTAGGTAATATTTAATTTAAGGCTGTGTACAGAAGAGTTGTTTAACAGTGTTTTAACTTTGTCATAGAAACTGACTAGGACACAATTGGACATTGCTTTTGAGATCTGGCATGACAGCTTGACATCGTCCAGGAGACATGCAGTATTTATCATACATGTTATGTCAAAATATTAGAACTAAAGGTCCACTATTTATCAAGCTTTCAGCTAGGCCTGGGCGATAAAATGATGGTATATACTGTGATAGGCTCTTCCTCAATAACGATAAGTAATTTGTCTGATAGGATGGCTGGTTAAAAGTAATGCGTGACAACCACTTAACGGTGGTTACAAGCCTCAAGCGTGCTCCCTCCCTAGCTCATAAACAGCCAATAATGGCCCTTGATAATGCAGCGTGCTACAAGTGATAAACAGTCAATCAGGTGTAGAGTTCGGTTGCTCCCTCAACATGTAACACAACACCAGAAGTAGTGTGGAACACGAGGGAGAACATGAGTGGAGAAAGTGAAGAAGAAACTGTCAATAAAAAAAAGGAAAGGTCAGCTCAGCAGTATGGCGGTTTTTTGGTCGTTTCAAGTCTGACTGAGATCAGAGCAAAGTTGTGTGTAAATTGGGTAGGAGAAAAGTTCGGACCAAAACTGTGAACACAATGAATCTGTTGTATCATCTGAGCCACTTCCATCCACTGGAGCATGGAGCATTCTCTCATGAAACAGTCCAGACATTCTCCTCCCCTTCAATGCCCGCTGGTCCACCTCAAAACAGACTGTGATTTGGCAAGTTTACAGCACATTCCAGACTACTTTTTAATCTAGTTTGAGAGGTTTTATTATAAAGTTTGTTACATCTCACAGATGTTGGGCTGTCTGTCTCAAAGCTGAGGTTGAAAGAGTTTATATATATTACTTCTTACTGATGTTAGTATATCAGCTGATTTTACTTGCTTTTTTTATTTAATATGAATCGAGGTTCGATCATTCTTTTATGCTTATTTAAGGGGAGTATCTCCACAGCCTTGTCCCTTGATTAAAAAATAGTGGTTTAATTAAATCATTTTCCCCTGCTGTTTATTAAAAATAACCCTGTAATAGCTCATTAAAATGATAAATAATTGCTATTGACTGATATGAAAAAAATGCATTGCATTAACATTTTCTGCTATATAACCCAGTCTAGCCATATCTAACCATCTGTCTCAGTTAACGTACTTTGCTGACTGAACATTTAACAGAGCAGATGACGATCTCCCTCACTAGCTTTGTGTTTGTGGTCACAAAATGAAATGATCATAGTAATTGTTATCATCAGGTGGTGAGAGACAAACGTACAGGAAAGACCAAGGGCTATGGCTTCGTCAGCTTCAAAGACCCAAACGATTACGTCAGAGCCATGAGAGAGATGAACGGTTGGTGTCTTTACAGACATGCTAAATCTCTTTTCTGGGTCATATTTGCTTATCTGCACTGTAAATGTGGATTCTTCCATCCATCATTTGTCCTTCAATTCGTATTTCTTTTGCTGTGGTGTAAAATTTACCTGGACAAGCATTAATAACTACAGTCTCTGCTTCCATGTCCCTGTTTGTCCAGGGAAGTACGTTGGCAGTCGTCCCATCAAACTGAGGAAAAGCATGTGGAAAGACCGCAACATCGAAGTGGTTCGAAAGAAACAGAAAGAGAAGAAGAAGCTGGGCCTAAGATAATGGTTATACAAGTGGGACTGTCCACTTTGAGCTCACAAGTGGACAGGTACTGCTGTGAGAACGCGAGTCTTAGTTTGATCTGTCCACTCAGAGATGGAGATTGTACAGGTGTTGTCTTTTTTTCTTATGCAAATAAAACCATAATTTTAAAGTTAGGATCATTTCTACTCATTGTTTTTAATCCAAACACATTTATTTCACATTGCAGTACTGTTAGTCATTGCAGTAGTGCTGTAGGAGTAAGGACTCTGAGTCCAGTTAATTCTTATTGGAACAGGGCATCTAAGCCTTCAGCATAGATTTGGAAGTCTGTGTGTCTGTTTATTTGAATCAGTGGTTCCCAGCTGTTTTGGCTTGTGACCACCCTGAGAAGGAACTTTTTCTTGTTGAAAGAATGTATACTATGAGAAAAAAAGGCATAATTGGGAGTGAGGACAGTTTGGCCAGTCCTCACTTTCTAACACTTTCAGATGGGTGTTTTATGGGTAAAAAAAAATAGGAGAATGGTGAATTGCCCCATGCGTGTGAATAGGGGGTTATAATATCTGCTTGTTAATTAGTGATGCAACATTCCGTTTCTGCGTTCAATCTTCAGTTCATTCTGCTCAGTTTAATATGTCACAGTGTTATCCTCATTTCAGTAGATCTGAATTAAAAATCAAGAGTCAGCTGTCATGTTACTGCTTTCCTTGTGAACAGAAGGAAAAAAAAAATTGTTAGAGCTCATTCGACAAGTCAGTATTCCTAAATTATTTTTAATAAAACTGTTTTGCTGCCTTGTAGTAGAATGGAGCTAGCACTATAATGTGAACACGATACATTTTACTCTGATGAAAGTAACGGTAAAAAAAACTATTACAAGAGTATAACTTCATATAGGATAAGGATAATCACCTTTATTGGCCAAGCATGTTACACACAAGGAATTTGTTTCCGGTACAGAACCGGTATAGGCCAGGTATTGGAATAAATTTAATATGTGTAATAAAGTTGGTTATTATGCTGCCAGGCAGAATGGCAACACTGACTACTCTGTTTGAATTGAAAGAACAAAGATTTTTTTTTTAACTCTCAATGACGCCTCATTAAAGATGTCATTGTTTAGCAGGTGATGAGATCTGCCATTTGAGTCTGGGAGAGGTTGGACCCAGAAGTGAAACGTTACATCCAACCTAACAAGCAGATAGCTAGAACTCAGCTGTCAAATGCACATCATATGGTCAATAATTAAAACATAAAATGTTTGTCAGATAATGTGGAAAGAACATTACAAAAAGCTTGCAGGAACAATATGGGGGCTGATCATTGTCAGCCTCTCTAAACCAGACATGTGAACATAGGCTACCTTGAAATAAATTTAAAAAAAAACTCAGATTGTAAGGCCTAGAATTATGGTAAGAACAGAGAAACTGAGACCTGCAGATTGGCACATTTGACCAAGTGGTACAGAAGAAACAAAGGACTTCAACACTCAGCATATTAACTATTCTTGACATTTCCAGGTCCATCATAAATCCGAACAATCTACTACAACTGCCTACAGAATTACTTTAGTGACTGCAAGATGTATGCTTGTACAGCAGTAGGAGGCATTTTGGGTTGACAGAATATGACTGCTTGTGTTCACATCTGTAGAGTCTGCCACACTGATACAAATGTGACAGTGACTGCTTGACATAAATTCCAAATGCTATACAGCATAAGTTGATTTGCAACAACACCTCTGATTACAGATTTAACAAAAAAAATTGAGGACAGAGTTTTTTCTTTGTGGAGAAAAAAAAGTCAGCAAAAACTGATCCACTTGTGCAATGATGGGCAGCTCTATCAAACACCCCTTCCCAACAACTCCTCTACAGCTGTCCGTCCACTAAAGATGACCTCATTCACTGACACGCCATCATAGGAGGATCCAATCAGAGACAAAGAGAGATTGTTCTTCCTTATGAAGCGCTGCATGGCCTCTGGAAAGGCAGACAGACACATTAAATGATGTTTCACTACACCTTGTGAATGTATACATTTTACATGTAATATATCTCATTACTCACCTACTCTCCGATAGTGGCCCTGATAATACTGAGGTATACAGTCCTGATGAGAGAAAAAGATCAAAACATTGTAGCAGCACAAGTTGGTATAAAACACAAAGAACATTTAAAACTGGATGGGTGTGAGACAATTACAGTATTGTTCAAAATAATAGCAGTACAATGTGACTAACCAGAATAATCCAGGTTTTTAGTATATTTTTTATTGCTACATGGCAAACAAGTTACCAGTAGGTGCAGTAGATTCTCAGAAAGCAAACAAGACCCAGCATTCATGATATGCACGCTCTTAAGGCTGTGAAATTGGGCAATTAGTTGAAAGGGGTGTGTTCAAAAAAATAGCAGTGTCTGCCGTTGACTGTACAAACACAAAACTATGTTGTACAAACGTTTTTGTTTCTAGGATTTAGCAATCCTGTGAATCACTAAACTAATATTTAGTTGTATGACCACAGTTTGTTATAACTGCTTCACATCTGTGTGGCATGGAGTCAACCAACTTGTGGCACCTTTCAGCTGTTATTACACTCCATGATTCTTTAACAACATTCCACAATTCATTTACATTTCTTGGTTTTGCTTCAGAAACAGCATTTTTGATATCACCCCACAAGTTCTCGATTGGATTAAGGTCCGGGGATTGGGCTGGCCACTCCATAACATTAATTTTGTTGGTTTGGAACCAACACTTTGCTCGTTTACTAGTGTGTTTGGGGTCATTGTCTTGTTGAAACAACCATTTCAAGGGCATGTCCTCTTCAGCATAAGGCAACATGACCTCTTCAAGTATTTTGACATATGCAAACTGATCCATGATCCCTGGTATGCGATAAATAGGCCCAACACCATAGTAGGAGAAACATGCCCATATCATGATGCTTGCACCACCATGCTTCACTGTCTTCACTGTGTACTGTGGCTTGAATTCAGAGTTTGGGGGTCGTCTCACAAACTGTCTGTAGCCCTTGGACCCAAAAAGAACAATTTTACTCTCATCAGTCCACAAAATGTTCCTCCATTTCTCTTTAGGCCAGTTGACGTGTTCTTTGGCAAATTGTAACCTCTTCTGCACGTGCCTTTTTTTTAACAGAGGGACTTTGCGGGGGATTCTTGAAAATAGATTAGCTTCACACAGACGTCTTCTAACTGTCACAGTACTTACAGGTAACTCCAGACTGTCTTTGATCATCCTGGAGCTGATCATTGGCTGGGCCTTTGCCATTCTGGTTATTCTTCGATCCATTTTGATGGTTGTCTTCCGTTTTCTTCCACGTCTCTCTGGTTTTGCTCTCCATTTTAAGGCATTGGAGATCATTTTAGCTGAACAGCCTATAATTTTTTGCACCTCTTTATAGGTTTTCCCCTCTCCAATCAACTTTTTAATCAAAGTACGCTGTTCTTCTGAACAATGTCTTGAACGACCCATTTTCCTCAGGCTTTCAAATGCATGTTCAACAAGTGCTGGCTTCATCCTTAAATAGGGGCCACCTGATTCACACCTGTTATTTCACAAAATTGATGACCTCACTGATTGAATGCCACACTGCTATTTTTTTAACACACCCCTTTCAACTAATTGCCCAATTGCACAGCCTTAAGAGCGTGCATATCATGAATGCTGGGTCTTGTTTGCTTTCTGAGAATCTACTGCACCTACTGGTAACTTGTTTGCCATGTAGCAATAAAAAATATACTAAAAACCTGGATTATTCTGGTTAGTCACATTGTACTGCTATTATTTTGAACAATACTGTATGTAAAGATTCACTGAGAAGTCTCACATCCACCTTGTTTAAATGTTTTACACTGATCCTGATCAAGGATGCAAGCTGAAATGCTTTGCTCTCGCAATAAAATTGTCCTTTGCAACTGTTGCTGGAAATTTGACCTTTACATACACTGTGTGGTTATACAGTGCCTTGCGAAAGTATTCGGCCCCCTTGAACTTTGCGACCTTTTGCCACATTTCAGGCTTCAAACATAAAGATATAAAACTGTAATTTTTTGTGAAGAATCAACAACAAGTGGGACACAATCATGAAGTGGAACGAAATTTATTGGATATTTCAAACTTTTTTAACAAATAAAAAACTGAAAAATTGGGCGTGAAAAATTATTCAGCCCCTTTACTTTCAGTGCAGCAAACTCTCTCCAGAAGTTCAGTGAGGATCTCTGAATGATCCAATGTTGACCTAAATAACTAATGATGATAAATAGAATCCACCTGTGTGGAATCAAGTCTCCATATAAATGCACCTGCACTGTGATAGTCTCAGAGGTCCGTTTAAAGCACAGAGAGCATCATGAAGAACAAGGAACACCAGGCAGGTCCGAGATACTGTTGTGGAGAAGTTTAAAGCCGGATTTGGATACAAAAAGATTTCCCAAGCTTTAAACATCCCAAGGAGCACTGTGCAAGCAATAATATTGAAATGGAAGGAGTATCAGACCACTGCAAATCTACCAAGACCTGACCGTCCCTCTAAACTTTCAGCTCATACAAGGAGAAAACTGATCAGAGATGCAGCCAAGAGGCCCATGATCACTCTGAATGAACTGCAGAGATCTACAGCTGAGGTGGGAGACTCTGTCCATAGGACAACAATCAGTCGTATACTGCACAAATCTGGCCTTTATGGAAGAGTGGCAAGAAGAAAGCCATTTCTTAAAGATATCCATAAAAAGTGTCGTTTAAAGTTACACACTCTTGTGTGTTACAGCCTGCTCAGTGTTTTATAACTAAGGTGTCACTTTATTTTTAAGCTCATTTAATAAGACAAGTTGAACCAGAACAGACTCATTTGGAGCAGCATAGAAACACATACAGTACACACATGGATCACTGTGTAGAGCTATGGGCAGCTTCTGCACAACTTCTATAATTAATTAAAGTCCCACTCCAGAAACATTTTCATTTTTATATTTGTATATAAAAATACTTTACTATAAACAATATGCAGTCTAACACAGCTTTTCCTCAAAAAAATTTCAGTGGGCCTCTGTAATAGGAATGAACATTGCCCCTCATTGTGCATTCCAGGATCTATGAATGTTGCCGTCATCCCTTATGTGGATTTGAATAATTTTGCACGCCCAATTTTTCAGTTTTTTATTTGTTAAAAACGTTTGAAATATCCAATAAATTTCGTTCCACTTCATGATTGTGTCCCACTTGTTGTTGATTCTTCACAAAAAATTACAGTTTTATATCTTTATGTTTGAAGCCTGAAATGTGGCAAAAGGTCGCAAAGTTCAAGGGGGCCGAATACTTTCGCAAGGCACTGTACCTACTGCCATTACACTCGAAGCAGGTGACTACACCTGTCACCTATCATGACAACATGCTTCCATGCTTCACTTCACCACACTGTGGTGACTGTGTCAAATGCTTCCAAACAGTGACTCATATTCAACACAACTCTTTCATATTGATTCAGTGGCTCAGGTACCCTCCTTTTATCCATTACTTGTCCTACCCTCTGTAGAGTCACCCAACTCCAGCTGGGTGCTGTGTTGACTCCCAGGTGGCAGTTCACCACCTCAGTGGCTCTCGCTAAAAGATGTTCATCTTTTACTGCTTCTGGAGCCCCAAACTCTTCTTGGAACCAGGCCCCACCCATCATTACCTAGAAGATATGTTCAAAACCTTATGTCAGCGGTGTGGACTCACTACATTAGACCACAGCATTGTTAAAGAAACAAGACTCTTCACTGAGAACCACTGCATGTATGTTCTGCCAAAGTAGACTAGACCACTATAACATACAAACCCCAATTCCAATGACACATTTACAATGACTTGCAAATCCTTTTTGACCCATATTTAATTGAATACACCACAAACACGAGATATTTAATGTTCAAACTGAGAAAACTTTTTTTTTGCAAATCTTCACTCATTTTGAATTGTACTTAGTTTTTTTTGGCATATGCATTATTCAGATGTAAACAAGAACAAATAAAATATTTCCTTGACAACATAAGTGACTATCATAATTTATCAAACCCATGGAAAAACTTAAGAATGCCAGTAAAATATATATTTCTTAAAACAAAGTTAGAAGAGCTCATTTATGAAGAAATTATGTTAGGAGAGCTGATATGCTGTAGGAAAGACTGATTGCTGAGAGGTTGCAGAGCATTGTTAGTGCATTTAACCCTTTACAGGGCACTCTGGGAAATGCTTGGAAATTCAAATTTTCAACCATGGACTATTATTGGAGTATTATATACACACCCACACATACTGTTTTTAAAATTTTCATTGTCATGTTGCAAATCGTAGTCAATGAATTTACCATATTGGGTTCCTTGCCCATCTAGGGTAATAATTTTCACTAAAAAGTGTGTATATATAAAAAATATTTAAAAAGAAGCCAAAACATCACCTCCTGTGACCTAGCCTGATTACTGGCTGGGAGAAATCCACGTGGTTCTATTACTAGCTCACATTAAGGCATGGGGCAGCCAGTTAGATGCCCACAGAAGATACCAAATGTGGTTCTTTGCCTGATGAAGATATAAAACTGGAGCCAAACAAAAAAAAAATGAGTGAAAATTTTTACAAAAGAAAAAGAAGGCAAAAGCATAAAAAGTGAGAAAAGTCGAAAGACAGAAAAAATAAGGTATGAGGGAAATAAAGAAAATGGCAATAAAAGGAAAGTTGAAAGAAAGGAAACAAAGCATCAAGGAAAGATGGGAGGAAAGAAAGGAAAGAAGAATATAAAAATAAAAAATAAAATAAAGGAGGAAAGAGGTGAGATGTTGTGGAGGGCAGAAGAAAAAGGGTGAGGGAAGAATGGCAGGAATAAAGGAAATAAGAAGGAAAGGAGGCAAGAAGTATGGAAGGATGTAAGGATGAGAGGAAAGGAAATAGGGATGAAAGCAGGAGGAATAAAAACAGCCTACCAAGATGGATGAAAGCAAGGAAGGACTAAAGGAAAGGAGACAGGAAGTATGGAAGGAAATAAGGATGAGGGGCAATTTTTGCACTTTCAAGCAATGCTAAGGCAATCTTTTCAGCAGAAAGCATTTCAGTAGAAATGTTCCTGTGGAAAATGCATGGGAATGCTGTCTGCTGAAAATTGCTGAGAAGCAATAATGAATCATTCCCCAAGTGAATTTGGGAGCCTAAGTTTAAAGAGGCTCAGAGCTTACAAACATCACTAAAACAGTGGAAGATATACCACCAACGCAAGCTCCTCTGGGACTCCATGTTCTTAACTGCAGCTTTTTATTAACTGCAGAATAAGACACTCAAGTCAAGTCAAAGTGTTTATTGTCACACATTTCCCTGTACAATGAAATTTTTACTTTGCCGTCCACATGAATGCCACACAATACAAGTGAAATATAAAGCAGACAAATAAGTAACACAAAATCGAAGGCACTTTAAGCAGCAAATGAAGAGATACAGTGCCTTGCGAAAGTATTCGGCCCCCTTGAACTTTGCGACCTTTTGCCACATTTCAGGCTTCAAACATAAAGATATAAAACTGTAATTTTTTGGGAAGAATCAACAACAAGTGGGACACAATCATGAAGTGGAACGAAATTTATTGGATATGTCAAACTTTTTTAACAAATAAAAAACTGAAAAATTGGGCGTGCAAAATTATTCAACCCCCTTAAGTTAATACGTTGTAGCGCCACCTTTTGCTGCGATTACAGCTGTAAATCGCTTGGGGTATGTCTCTATCAGTTTTGCACATCGAGAGACTGAAATTTTTGCCCATGCCTCCTTGCAAAACAGCTCGAGCTCAGTGAGGTTGGATGGAGAGCATTTGTGAACAGCAGTTTTCAGTTCTTTCCACAGATTCTCGATTGGATTCAGGTCTGGACTTTGACTTGGCCATTCTAACACCTGGATATGTTTATTTGTGAACCATTCCATTGTAGATTTTGCTTTATGTTTTGGATCATTGTCTTGTTGGAAGACAAATCTCCGTCCCAGTCTCAGGTCTTTTGCAGACTCCATCAGGTTTCCTTCCAGAATGGTCCTGTATTTGGCTCCATCCATCTTCCCATCAATTTGAACCATCTTCCCTGTCCCTGCTGAAGAAAAGCAGCCCCAAACCATGATGCTGCCACCACCATGTTTGACAGTGGGGATGGTGTGTTCAGGGTGATGAGCTGTGTTGCTTTTACGCCAAACATAACGTTTTGCATTGTTGCCAAAAAGTTCGATTTTGGTTTCATCTGACCAGAGCACCTTCTTCCACATGTTTGGTGTGTCTCCCAGGTGGCTTGTGGCAAACTTTAAACAACACTTTTTATGGATATCTTTAAGAAATGGCTTTCTTCTTGCCACTCTTCCATAAAGGCCAGATTTGTGCAGTATACGACTGATTGTTGTCCTATGGACAGAGTCTCCCACCTCAGCTGTAGATCTCTGCAGTTCATCCAGAGTGATCATGGGCCTCTTGGCTGCATCTCTGATCAGTCTTCTCCTTGTATGAGCTGAAAGTTTAGAGGGACGGCCAGGTCTTGGTAGATTTGCAGTGGTCTGATACTCCTTCCATTTCAATATTATCACTTGCACAGTGCTCCTTGGGATGTTTAAAGCTTGGAAAATCTTTTTGTATCCAAATCCAGCTTTAAACTTCTCCACAACAGTATCTCGGACCTGCCTGGTGTGTTCCTTGTTCTTCATGATGCTCTCTGCGCTTTAAACGGACCTCTGAGACTATCACAGTGCAGGTGCATTTATACGGAGACTTGATTACACACAGGTGGATTCTATTTATCATCATTAGTCATTTAGGTCAACATTGGATCATTCAGAGATCCTCACTGAACTTCTGGAGAGAGTTTGCTGCACTGAAAGTAAAGGGGCTGAATAATTTTGCACGCCCAATTATTCAGTTTTTTATTTGTTAAAAAAGTTTGAAATATCCAATAAATTTCGTTCCACTTCATGATTGTGTCCCACTTGTTGTTGATTCTTCACCAAGGCACTGTATAATAAAAATATATAATGATATAATAAGAGACTGTATGCTACATAGCTGCATGTGCAGTAGTCAACAGTCAATGTGCAATTATGCATGTGCAAACTGAGAATGTAAACAGTACAGGTCGTCAGTGCATGATGTATTTCCCGGTAATAAACTCCTGTCAGCTGTTTAGGAGTCTGATGGCAGAGGGAAAGAAAAAGTTTTTCAGTCTAGAGGTCCTACATTTCACACTTCAAGCCTCCGGCTAGAGGGTCCTGCATTTCACACTTTGAGCCTCCGGCTGGAGGGGCAGGCAGTGAGCAGCCCATGCTGGGGGTGGGTGGGATCTTTGAGGATGGAGGCAGCTTTCCTACGCACCCTGCGGTGGTAAATGCTCTGCAGAGAGGGCAGTGGAGTCCTGGTGATCTTCTCAGCAGTCTTTACTACTCTCTGCAGGCGCTTGCGGTCCATAGCAGTAGTGCTGCCATACCAGACAGTGATGCAGCTGGTGAAGATGCTCTTGACGATGCAGCTGTATAAGTTGCTGAGGATCCTAAGCGACATGCCAAACCTCCTCAGCCTCTCCAGGAAATACAGCAGCCGTTGGACCTTCTTGACTTTGTGTGATGTTATGTGTCCAGGTGAGGTCCTCATTGATGTGGACACCCAGGTATTTTAAGCTGCTCACCCTCTCCACTTCAGGCCCCCAGATGAACGGTGGCTGATGAGATCTCCTCTCCTTCCTCATGTCCACTATCATCTCCTTCGTCTTGTCTGTGTTGAGGCTGAGATTATTGTCCTTGCACCATGTTGTAGGCTGCTTCGTCCCTGCCAGTGATGCATCCTATCACTGCGGTGTCATCCGCAAACATTAGGAGGATGATGTCCTTGTAGGAGGTGACAGATGTGGGTGAACAGGGTGTAGAGGATGGGACTGAGGACACCTCCCCTTGGGGTGCCGATGTTTGTAATAATGCTGGCTGAAGTCCTATTGCCAATCCTGACAGTCTGGGGCCTGCCAGTCAGAAAGTCCAGGAGTCAGTCACAGAGGGTGGGGTGCAGACCCAGTGTGGACAGTTTGTGGGTGAGTTTGTGGGGGATAACTGTGTTGAAGGCAGAGCTGTAGTCAATGAAGAGTATCCTTATGTAAGAGTCTCCATTTTCCAGGTTAGAACCAGGGGCTCCAGGGTGTCCGGTATACTGCTCTGAATGCGGGCCAGCACCACTCTCTCAAAGCACTTCATAATAATTGGGGAGAGTGCCACTGGCCTGTAGTCGTTCAGGCAGGTGACCGGGCTCTTCTTGGGAAGGGGGTTGATGGTTGTGGTCTTAAAGCAGGTGAGAATGATGTTCTGGCTGAGGGAGAGGTTGAAGATGGAGGTCATCAGCCAGTCCGTTGGCACATGCCCTTAGAGCCCTTCCCAAGGATGTTGTCAGGTCTTGCTGCTTTGCGGGGGTTGATCTTCCTCAGGGTTTTGCATACCTGGCCTGATGAGACAGTTAATGGAGGTGGGGGGGTTGGGTGGTCCAGGTGTATGTATGCTTCCTCTCTGTGCTGTAGCTGGAGGTCTCAAAGCGAGTGTAGAAGGTGTTGAGGTCATCCGGCAAGCCGTCTGTGGAGCTGATGATGCTGGTGGTGGTCCTGTAGTCTGTGATGTGCTGCAGGCCTTGCCACATCCGTCCGGTGTCAGCAGTAGAGTAGAAGCCATTCAGCTTCTCTCTGTACTGCCTCTTGGCCGCTGTGATGGCTTTCCTCAGTCTGTACTTCGCAGCTTTGTACTCCGTCTCATCACCTGATCTGAATGAAAGAGAGCGAGCACGCAGCATGTGGTGTACCTGACTGTTTATCCAGGGCTTCTGGGTGGGGAACCTCCTGACTTGTATGGTGGGCACAATGTTGTCAATACAGCTACTAATGTACCCAGTCAGATACTCAGCATAGTCCTGTACGCTGACAGAAAAGTCCTCCGAGGTGGCTGCAGCTTTAAACACGTCCCAGTCTATCCAAGTAAAACAGGGTGCACCCTACAGGGTGCCTTCGGTCTCTAGGGTGCAGAGTTTGTTTGTTTCAGTCTTTGTCTGTGAGCTGGATACAGGAACAAAGAAATGTGGTGCGAGCATCCAAAGTGGGGGTGGGGTGAGCCCTGTATGCACCACGTATGATACTGTAAACACGATCCAATGTGTTCTTCCTGGGTGGGAATGTCCACATGTTGGTAATATTTGGGGAATACAGTCCGTAGATTGCACTGATAGTCACCTGCAGCGATAAATACAGCATAGGGGTGAACCGTCTCTAGCATGATGACATTGTGGAGTTTGCTGAGGGCCGTCGTGGAATTAGCTCTTGGACCTATGTATATTCCAGCCAAAAACACACAGCTAAATTCTCTTGGTAGATAATAGGGACGGCATTTCAGCAATAAAAACTCCACATCTGGCGAACAGTGCTTATAGACAGTCTGTACATGTCCACACCACGAGTTGATAAGCACGCACACACCTTCCCCTTTGGCCATACCGGCAGCAGTCTCCCTGATGATGCGAGTCTGTAGCTGAACGGTGGATTCTGGGACACTGTCTGACAGCCAGGTCTCAGTGAAAATTAGAGCACAGCACTCTCTTATTTCCCGCTGTGTTGTAATCCTGGCTCTTAGCTTGTCCAGTTTGTTTTTCAGAGACCACACGTTAGCTAGCAAGAGGCTGGCCAGTGGTGGTCGGCTAGTGTGAGCTTTTAGCCTAGCATGGAGCCCTCCCCTCTTGACACGCTTGCGTCTCCGACTCCGGATCGCTGTCCTTGGGTCAGCCTGCTCACTCAAGGTCAGTGCTTCAGGGCCTTCCTAGGGGTGGCAGGGCGTTTGATCGGGTGAATTAGACTGTAAATATGTCACTATGTGCAGCTTCCACACTCAACTAAATGCTAAAAGGAACTTCTTATATTTTGATAGACATAACCATTGTAAATAAGTATAAAAAATGTCAGTGTTGGCGACTGGTTTATCACTAGAAAGTGCTTAGAGAAACACCGATTAGCCATCTTTTACTATGTAAAACACCTTGAACATCATACATATTAATTCAAGATATTCACGTGAGGTTTGGTTAGATGTCCGTCGCCATTCCTGTTTAGTGATAGGAGCCGTATTTGAGTTTTAAATTTAGCACAAAGCTGAACATCTGATGTGGCAGCTGTCAGATCTCCCTCTGGCAGTCTCACTTCTGGAGCACGCTTGTCTCATTTCTATACAAAAATCAAAAAAGTCCCAAACAAAAAACTACATCTGACCGCACAGCGGTACATCCTGGTCTTGGCTGAATTTATCCATATGAGAATCAAGTTGTTTGTTGAGTGTCTATAGCAAAAATAAGATTTTTTTGACAGCGACCACTCAAGGTGATGTTGGGACAGGAATTGGTTACAATTTGGATGACATTTCATTTCACCAGTGCAAAACCCCTTCTGGAACTTGTGGGTAAAATGAGGAGAGGCACTGGGTCCATTTTTATTCTGTGTGGGCTGGACTTCAAAATGAGGGTGTTTCGATGTAGTTTTCAGACCAAAATATTAATAGATAATGACTGATTAACTGCTAAAATATCTCATTATGATGACTTCTTTACAAGAAAAAACATTCAGTATTCATAGTTTTTAAAATCTGATGTTTTAAATGTAAGTTGGATGACCCCCGTTGTGATTACACTGCAGGTAGAATGTTTGACCTCAGCATTTAAAGCTACAGTAATTAATATTTAGGCATAAAAATTTTACCAAATGAGTAAGTGTAAAGTGAAATGTTTATAAAGTTTGTAGTGATAAAGCCACAAAGATAATTGCTGGAGAGACATTTAGCCTATTTTAGCTCTGTGTTTTGCTGTGTTCTGTCAAACACTGATTCTCCCCAGTTCGTGTTTCACACTAACTTAACCTGAACCCAGCCTAACCCCAAGCAGTCAGCTCTACAATATATAACCATAACCTAATGGTTCCATAAGTGAGGTTAGTCCAAAACCAAAACAAACACTTTGAAAGGAAAACAGATTTCAACATCCATTCTTCCTCCCTGTCATGACCCATTTCAGTTTGCATACAGGTCAAACAGGTCCACAGAGGATGCCATTACTGCTGTTCTCCATCCAGCCCTCACCCACCTAGATTCAAAGAACTCTTAAAAAAAATGCAACATTTTGGGGAACTTCCAAAACCTGGCACCATAGCTGGAGACGCCACGGAAAGCATGTGCGCAACTTGACATTGCGCGCTACACAAAGAAGATTGACAATTGTTGGTCAGTTTGACAAACGCTTTCAAGACTTTGCCTCACTCGAGCCAGTCTCTACATTTATGCGCTACCCATTTAGGGAAGATATTGCGGTTGATTCACTCGCATCACAAATCGCAAAGCTGTTTCACCTGGAGTGGAGGATGAGATATTGACACTACAGACTGACGTTCAGCTGAAGTCGAGGGTTAATGGAACTTTAATGGTTTAGAACTTACAAAGGAAAAGTACCCAAACAGGAGGAAACGTGCCATTGACTCCATTATTTGGCTCTACTTATTTATGTGAGTCAGCATTCTCTCACACAGAGATTATTAAGTCCAAATACCGCTCCACCATGACTGATGACCATTTGGAAGTCTGCTGGAGGCTGGCTGGGGCCTGGCTACCAGCAGCTACTGTCCGGACTATGCAGCCCTGGATGATTCCATTCAGTGCAAGTCATCAGAGTAAACTAAAGACCAAAAAAGTGCTGAACTGTAGTGTGCCTTAAGGTTCATGCAGTTATGCAAGGTGTGCCAACATATATTGTGTTTACATAAAGTATACTCCATATATAAATAAATATATGTTTAGTATTTTAACTGTAGGTAGATCATTTTGACTTGGTCATTTGAAAAGTAGCTCGCAAGGCGAAAAAACGTGGGCACCCCTGCTCTAGATATTAATCTTGGGACGAACAAATTGGCACTTTTTACAGTGATGAACTCAAAACTTCCAGTTTTAACTCTGAGAGGTGCATTTCACATTTATTTCTGGCCATCTAATAATATAGGAAACCTACTGTTTCACCTGATCCACCAGACTTGAAAGCGGTCAATCCCTAAACCTGAACTACTGGCTTGTCCTCAGAGTAAGGTTACTCTGTAAATGGACACACAATGTGTGATATTAAAACAATGATCTGACCATTCAGCGTATTACATTATGCATAATATTTAGAAAGATCAGTGTTTATTTGTCATATGCACAGTGAGGAAATGTTTCCCTATACAATGAAATTCTTACTTTGCCATCCACATGAATGCCACACAAGACAAGTGAAATATAACACAGATACATAGCTAACACAAAATCTAAATCTCAAAACTACAACATATCATACAAATGTATGTACACATTTCTACTTGACTGAATGAAGTAGCTTGCAAGGCAAAAAAAGTGTGGGCACCCCTGCTCTAAAGCAGCACCAAGTTCCTGGGGGTGCACATCTCTGAGGACCTCTCCTGGAGCAACACCACCACATCACTGGCCAAGAAAGCTCAAACATGCCTCTACTTCCTCCACAAACTGAAGAGAGCCAGTGTCCCACCCCCCATCATCTGCTCTTTCTACCGGGGCACCATTGACAGCGTCATCACTGGCTGCATCACTGTGTGGTACAGAGCCTGTACTGCCTCCTGTAGAAGGACCCTACAACGCATAGTGAAAACAGCCAGCAAGATCATCCAACCCATATCTGCTGCTGTTGGTCATTTGCACTGCTGTCCATGTACATTTCATAAGCTATTATGCATCCCATCACCAACGCCCCTGGTGATGCTGACCACCTGACAATCTTGTTATTATTTGCACTACTGTCACTGTTTGCACATGGCTTTGAGTTTCTTCATAGCCTATTAGGTTGTACCATTTAGTTTATCCTTATTACTTGAATTCAGTTTTCATATTCTGTTTATTCTGTGTTTATTCTACTTTTATTCTATTTTAGTTTCTTAAAGGGTATAGGCATTCAACATTAGGTGAGAGAGAAACAGTTTTTCGTTTTTTTCTGTATGTCCTGCACATATTGACAATACACATATTGACAATAAAAATCTCTGATCTTGATAAGACAGTCACACAGCTTCCCTCCAAATTAAAGCTTATCCTGCTCTCTGTGTACCGTCAATCTTGTAGTCTCTCCTTTAGGTCTGTTGTGCTGAGGGAAGGAAACAGAGTCATAGACCACCCCGAGCACACCCCGATCCTCTGATGATGGAATCAGGTGGCCAAAACCCTGACAAGACAAACACAGATATGGTTGTATTACTTTTGCCACTTTTCAGGTAAAGCTCATCAGTAACTACCACTGATAATATAATGACTTATCACCATGGCCACGATGCTACTAGTAATTGTTTGCACCTCACAAGGGGTCACTGGGTCATCAGAATGTGATCAATAGAAAAATGTACCTGGTGCTACTTCACATTTCTTTCTGTCACATTCATGTGTTGATTAGCACATATTTGTGAGGAGGACACTAGTGTGTTTGTACTCAATCAAAAGAAATACACAGTACCATAGTGATCATAGTACAGTCTTTTCTCTTCAAATGTTAAGTCAGTAAAGAAAATGCTAATTTGCTGTCTTCTATTTCATTTTTTTGATTTATCTAATGTTTTCAGAAGCATCAGAAGTGAAAAAATAAAGCATAAATAAAATGTCCTACTGTAATTCTTACTTTTACAGGAAGGATGGAACCATCATACTCCAGATTTACCACAGCCACTGTTACTGTGGAGATGTCTTGCAGTTCCTGAATGAGAGGTTGACAGGAGGGGGGCAAGGATGAAGCCAGCGCTAAAGGGAGTTAAAACAACAGAGAGGTGTAGTAGAAACAAAAACAGCTTTTCTTTTGTTTCTGTAGAGTCTATGGTTAGTTCTAAACTACTTGGCATTTCAGTAACCTGTGTATCACAAAATATTGTTTTATTCACTCTTTTGTAACAGCAAAAGTAAAATATTTAATTTAGATTACTAAATACATTAGGCATGTACTGAAGGATTCTAAACATGTTGCAGCTGTAACTCAAATAGGCAGAGCTCCTACTGGGCTGTGACTGACTTCACATAGATCATAATCTGTTAACCACTACTTGCCTTTAGCAGGCAGTGCAGAGATGATGTGATCAGCCGATATGACTCCATCCTCCAAGTGGATCTATACACATGCACACACACACACAGACATACTATGAAACCTGCCACATGAATATGGGAGCTAAACAGTTCAGTGTATTTTTTCGTTTTCTAGCCTGGACTCTCCACTCATACATGCTGATGTCTGCAGGTATAATACCATGTTCACCATTGGAGTTTTGCTTGTTAGCCTGCTAACATTTGTTCAGTAGAACTATTCAACTCAAAAGTACATTTGAGTGTGATGGGAATACCATTAGTCTTGCATGTATTTGGTCATAAACTTTAGTACTGGACAAATTAAAATGCTGAATGTTGATGGCACTGTCAGTAGTTGCTAATAGCTGATTTCAACCTTACTATAGAGTTAAAATAAGGGGATCACTAGAGTAAAAGAGTCAAGTCAAGTAAGTAAAGTAAATAGGGTTTATCATCTAGGAACCATGAATCTAGGAACAAAATTTCATGGCAATCCATCAAATAGTTGGCATTTTTGGTTTTTGTCTTTACAACCTCAGAAATTGAGTGTAAATCATCCTTTGACAAGCACTGCTACAACTTCATTATTAAAGTGTAGAATTTATGTTACAAAAAAGTTCTGCAGACAGGGACTGACATGTTAAATCTTCAAAAACATTATATTCAAACTGTCAAGTTCAAGTAAACACACTTTATATTTTCCTTACTAACCATCCAACCAGATGCTGAAGGGCTGATCTGTTTAACAGCTGCCTCCCTGTGAAGTTGCACTATCTCACTCTGTTGCAGGTACTCAGTGATGGATTCAGCGAGGGACTCCAATCCCCTGCTCAGGGACCACTGGGCCCACGATTCTTTAATAGATCTCTGAGCCAGAGGGCCAGGGGTGACCACAGGATTGGGACCTGCAGGTTTTCACACAGTAGACTGATAATAACACACAGAAGACAGGCAACATGACATAACCGTTACAGCTAACACCAATTTCACTGAATGAAAGACGAGATTAATCCTGTCTCAGGCCCCAGTCAGACAGAGTGCGTTTTGGCAACATGGGGTGGCTTTTTGTAATTGTTTTCAATGAGTGAAGCATTTTGCATGCTGCTTTTGCACTGCTGAGTGTCTTGCCTTTATGCTCTCTACACGCCTTGCGTTTTTGCAGGAGTGCCCCGAAAGACTCTATTTTTGAAAAAACTTAAACTCAGAGCAGAAAAACACCTAACGTTATTGGCATTTTTCCCCAGTGTCTGATCAGATTTACTGAGAGGTGAGCAATCTGTGGGAGTGACAAACAGATGGAGTCTGCTGGTAGTCATTTTGGCGATACGAGGCGTGACAACAGACAGTATACTGTCACACTGTCCCTGACTCATCCTAAAATAGCCTTGAAGTGAACATCATCTGTGAAATCTCCTCTTTCTGAGGGGGTCCTGTAGGCTACCCACACAGATCTCGTTTCCTCGGTGTCCAGCATATTTGAGAACGGCCTCTCCCCTCCTCCTGTCTGTGCTTTATGCTTAGATAATAAGTAAGATAAGACAATAATCATATAGGTTTTAGGTTTAGATAAATGATGGATGTCTATATAAACACTTAAATGGGCTAGATGTTTAAATGCCAGTTAGGCTAAGGACAGTGATTTCATGGTTGTCTAGTAACAGAAAAAAATACAACGGATCAAGCTGCTCTTTTTTATGACACAAAAAAGGCAGTACAGCGCACCTCACATTTTGCTCTGTCTGATCAAGGCCTTAAATTAATCTGGGGGGGGACTAAATGTCCCTGTCTGCTATAGCAAGTCAAAGTGGGAATATGTTTTACAACTATATTTAAAACACAATGAGAAGAAAAATCAGGAGTACAGTTTGAGAGCCCATACTGCGCAGTAAAAATATCCTAGGTTTAATAAGGGAAAGTACAGAATATTAATCAGAATTTGTATGAGATTTGAAAGTGGTTACATTTAAGGAACACTTCAGATCATCTAGAAATTTGTTCCATCAGGGTCCTCCGCTGGGTTCAAGACGGGTAACCCACAAAATGATGTGCAATGCGTAAAACAAATTCACGAGCACAGGCATTGGTAAAAACAGACTAAGTGCAGGCATGTAGTGAGTGAAATAAACATAATCAAACTTTAAATACATAAATAAATAAAAGTCCAGCTTCTTTTAAACATAATTGTATCAAGCCTAAATAACTGCTACATTTTTTGTGAAGGCCTATAGCACAATCTTTGACCTCTCAACTCATGTTTGGCCAGTAGGAGGTCATTCAGACGCAGTCTAGGCATCAGTGGCTCGAAATAAATAAAACTGAAAATATCTAGTGGTGAATACAAAATTGTGGACAGCACATCTTCGAAGGCCAAGGTGGAAAGAGGGGAGAAATTCAGTGTGATTATAGACTGTAAGAACAACATAATCAGCGACTTTGCCACTTATAAAAAGCACCAAACATTGTTAGCATTTGATAGCCACAAGATAGCCACTAGAAAACACAGGTACAGGAGCCCAGGTGCTGCGTCAGTCGACAGATGCTTTTCCAAGAACACAGCTCTCTAACACTTTAAAGTAAATGACTGTGTAGCTTAAAGTTTATTTTAATTACAGGTAAGGGTCGGGTCACGGGTCTTATCTTAACAGGCTGGGTTGGGTCCGGATTTCATTTAGAAATAACTGCGAGTAATGGGTCGGGGTCTGATATGGAGCTTTGCAGGTGGGGGTTTGCAAAACTGAGATAAACATCGTGTAGAAGCATATTACAGCTTCACCGTGTTTCACACCAGACTGTAAAAGCTGACAGTTTCATACTTAGCAACTCTTTCACTGTCACGTTTTCTTTCGGGCTCTCTCACAGTGGGTGACATCCACATTCTTAATCACACCTACATGACTGGTTGAATATTTCTCCAACAGGGAAAACAACCCAACAACCACATCAGAACTATTTAAATTACTGACCAAACCAGAGATACTGGGAGCCTTTATAGCCAATCATACAGTGAGCCAAAACTGTCTTACCTCTTTTTTTCCAATTAAAATGAATTATTTTCTATTTAACTACTTTACTAAATACACACTGTACAGTACCACCATACATATTACTTTTGTGAAACTCACAATAGCCCCTTTTATACTGACCAATCGATGCAAGAATTTTCTGCCTGGGCATTCTGTATAAAAGGTACAGAACCAGCATGGAGGGTCGAAGCATCCTGCAACACCTCGACTCCCCAGGGACCTATGTACTGGCCCTCTTTGTGGACTTCAACTCAGTGTTCAACACCATCATCCCAGACATCCTCTACTCCAAACTGACGCAGCTCACTGTGCCTGCCCCCACCTGTCAGTGGCTCACTAGCTTTCCGACAGGAAACAGCAGGTGAGGCTGGGGAAAACCACATCCAGCACCCAGACAATAAACACAGGCGCCCCACCCTTCCCTCCAACCCCCACCTCTAACGATTTGTGAAAAGGATGTGCATGGGCTCTTTAAAAAAAAAAACAAAGGATCAGAAAGGCACCAGGCTCAAATGGTGTGACCCCCTCCTGCTTCAAATAGTCCACCATCATCCCAGTCCCCAAGATACAGTTCTACAGAGGAATCATCGAGTCTGTTCTCTGCACCTCCATCACTGTCTGGTTTGGTTCAGCAACCAAACAGGACAAGTACAGACTTCAGCGGACAGTCAGGACTGCAGAAAAGGTCATTGGTGTGAGCCTGCCCTCCGTGGAGGACCTGTACACCTCACAGGTCAAAAGGAGGGCGGAGAGGATCACCGCAGACCCCTCACACCCTGGACACAATCTGTTTGAACTCCTCCCCTCTGGACGGTGCTACAGGTCACTGTACACCAAGACAACCAGGCACAACAGCAGCTTCTTCCCCCGGGCCATCACTCTGATTAACACTTAACCCAGGGGTACCCAATACGTTGATCGTGATCGACTGGTTGATCGCAAAGGCAGTGTTGGTAGATCGCGTGCCATTCAAAAAAAATTTCTTTTATATACAGTGGGTACGGAAAGTATTCAGACCCCCTTAAATTTTTCACTCTTTGTTATATTGCAGCTAGGGCTGTAGCGATTATTCGACTTAATCGACTTAATCGATTATGATAATTAGTCGATTTGCATATTAATCGTCGACTTGTCATATGTAGGAAACAAAAAAAAAATAATTGTAAGACAAGTTTCAGTTTCACACTCCAGAGCAGATGGTGGCGGTAATGCACCAAAAGCTGGATGCCAACCGCCCTTTAAAAGGACGCAGAAGAAGATAAGTAGGAAGTAGACGGTAATGCGAGCATGGATACACATAGCTAGTGATGGGCAGATGAAGCTTCCTGAAGCAATGAAGCCTTTCATCCAATTGGTTCACTCCAGAGCAACGCTTCTTGAAGCTTCATTTGCTCTAGTAGGACATCTACTGGATGCAACAATATCAGTTGGCATGAATTTGAAGTGTGTGGCATTTTGCAGAAAGCCTGGGAATAAAACTTCTTGGAAAAACCTTGACCTCTTTGAACATTGTTTCCGGCATATTTTAGGCTAGAAACGCCATTTCAACTGTATTCAACTCGTGACAAATTTATCTACTGATGGTGCAAGAATCTTCTATGGTTTTTGTATACTCGCCATTTATATTTTGTGTACTTCTCCATTCAGTTTGAATGGCTCCATTGACTTGAATAGGCACACTCTGCATCACGTGACCCCCCCGTTCTAGCTTGCCTGTCTGTTTTTCCAACTACTCCTTGTTTTTCTGCTTCTATTATGCTATCCTTAAATTTTATACACATATAATAGATGAAAATCATAGAGAAAATTGTCAACAATCTATCTATACCATTGTTATTGTGATGGGATGAACGGTATTTGTGTAATTTTGCAGATTCCAGAGAGAGTGCCGTCTCACTGTTCCCTCACTGTGGGTGCGCTCACAGCAGAGAACTCAGTCTGCTGACTATTTTTTACAAGTTAATCCTTTTATTGAAATACAATGGACTTTTCTGAACAAGTCTGGCAAAAGGATTATATCAGAACCGAACTGTTGCGAGGTTGCTCACTGCTGCTCACAGTGAAGAGATTTTTTCGAAAGGACTTTGTTGAGCAGGACTTTTTGAATACGATGACAACACGGCTGTTCTTCCAAACACAGAGAACTTGCTCTGCTAGACAGCAGCTTAATGTCTTTTTTCCAAACACGTTGGACTTTCAAAGAACTTGCTCTGCTAGACAGGAGCTTAATGCCTTTTTTTCCCAAACACGTTGGACTTTCAGAGAACTTGCTCTGCTATACAGCAGCTTAATGCCTTTTTTTCCAAACACATTGGAATTTTGTAATCAAGCGTGAACGAAGAAGGATTATATCAACCAAATGTAACAGTATTAGCTTCATATA